AAGGATTGCACTACTGTCCCATCTTCCATACCCCTTTTCACTTTTTTTCACAGGATAACTTGTATTCAAGGTTGTGATCTCTATCTGAACAGTTTCCGTCTTGCTTTCCCTAGGACAGCTGTCAGGAATACAGAAGTTACAGCTATAAACAGGAAGGTCAAGAGTCCTGATCAAATACCAGAGAAACTGATAGCAGACTGTCCAGGACCACCTTCTACAGGGCTGCATAGGTGTACATGAGATCCCTCAAACAAATCCCTCCTTCTGTTGGGATATGTACACTGGCCAGTTTAGACTCAGCAACTTGTCTCATCTGAAAATCTTTCCAGAACTAAGGGGAATCAGGATTTTCTCCAAGCATTTTAAAGAATCTAACAAACAAAGGGTCCTGATATAATTGGATATTGATTGGTGTTGATAACTTTAGCAAAAAGGGGGAGGAATATAGTCATCTCTAGGTAGAAATAAATTATCAGGCAGATGCATTAAGATAACACACTTAGCAAGAATATTGGACACTGAAGCTGAAAATTCACAGTAGTAGTCTTTACACTAGATAACTCAGACACAACTTTCAAAAGTGGATGTTTATGTCTTTGTTCTTGAGATAAACCATAATGTTCTGTACTACTACTTAAGATACACCAGAAGACTCTCTAGCAAGATGCTTTTAGCCTCATCTGATCTCTGGCATAGGAGTGTGCCCTTCTTCATCCTCCCTTAAATCCAAGCATTCTAGAAAAACCCTACATTTGGAAATGACTTAAAGTAATAATCTCTTCTGAATGGATGGGAATTTTTTTCCCAGTCATGGACCTAGCTGCCTGAGGCCTTCAGGGACTGACGATCTTCTTCGATAAAGCCTATGTTCTTTGTCTCTTCATTCAAGTCTTGGGCCCTCTTCTTTATGTCCTAGCTCTTGACTTCATAGTGGTGATCAAGTGGGATGGTTTCTTCTAAATTTCAAAAAGTTCTAATGCACTACTGCACAAAGAGTATCCCACAGACCAGCTGCTAGTCTGGGAGCTGTTTTCACATGTTTACAACAAGATAAGGAGTATTGTCCTGAATGTAAATCAACCATGTCACTAAATACGCTGTTTATTCAACTGACTCGTTCTTTTTAATAGACTTGTTGAAGAAGGAAATGAGGAATTGATTTACCTTCTGGTAAAAGTTCTTTATCTTGTTATGGTCTAGTACTTTGAATAGAACTCTCTAGAGGTCTGTAACAGACTGTTTTAGGCATGCTTATCTTCAGAAATGAAGCAGGGCTATGTTTTATCTTCAGTGCCTTTTATTACCTACTTTATTTGAACAAAAATGGTCCTACAGTTTGGTAGGACAAAGTAAATATCACTTTCATTCCTGGATCTCCTTCTTCCTTAATTAAAACTCACTGACTACTCTCATGTATTTCTCCCTTCTTGAAAAAGTATTTCAAAGCCGAGCACAGTGGCTCATGCCTGTAATCTCAGCATTTTGAGAGTCTGAGACGGGCAGGATTGCTTGAGCTCAGAAGTTTGAGACCATCTTGGGCAACATGGCGAGACCTGGTCTCTACAAAACATAAAAAAATTAGCTGGCTGTGGTGACTTGCACCTGTAGTCTCAGCTACTTGGGAGGCTGAGGCAGAAGGATGGCTTGAGTCCGGGAGGTCGAGGCTGCAGTGAGTTATGATCACACCACTTCACCGCAGCCTAGGCAATGGGGTAAGACCTTGTCTGAAAAAAAAAAAAAAGTATTTCAAAATAACTCTATCTTCCCCTACCAGACTTTCATCTCTCTAAGAAGTGTGGTTCCTACTTCTATGTCTGGTTCCTACCCATGTTCTGTCAAGCATCTTACCCAGAAGGTATATGTCTAGTGATTAGGTTTCATTTAGACAAGAAGAGTTGGAAAAATCCAAGCCCTGATACATAACCTCTTTTCCACCAGAATTCTGACAAATCTCTTCAACATGAGGTCTGATTTTTTAAACCTTCCTTCTTCCCTCCCCAACCTCTAACAGGAAGATTATCAGATACTTAGTTGTAAGGAAAGGTCATTATTTTTAAGTATCACTGTTAGACTGTAGAACAGTAGATTGCAACAGCCATTTTGTTTGTTTGTTTTTTGGGTTTTTTTTTTTTGTGTGTGTGTGTGTGACTAGCTCCTATCAGAAGGGAACTTTTTGAATGACTAACAGGTTATGTTATAAAGAGGCAGAATTTTCCTTGAACTCTAAAATTACAGCTGACTTAGATAAAGGTAAAGGCAGACACAGTAGGAATGTTTCAGACATGTTCCTCTGTCTAGAATCTATAGGGGAACCATGTGGCCTTTACACCTAGACTTTTGCTTGACAGTAACAATTTGGTCCAGAAGCCTGCAGCAGCTGTTTTCAGCTTAAGTTCACTTCCTACTTCCCGGGTGTCCAGCTGGCAGCAATGATTTTATTCTACCTTGAGAAAGCTAGTTTATTTGTTGGTAGGCTTATTTGCTAATAATAATTCATTGAGTATATGCTGGGCTCCATTCTAAACACTTTACATTTCATTTAATTCTCATAGTGTACTTATTATTATCCCTGTTTTACAGATGATAAAACTTTTTATAGTCCCAGGGAGATAAATATTAGCACAAAATCACAGTTAGTGGTAGAGGTGAGTCTCTGTAACTCCAAAAGTGATGGTTCTTCCAGTACCCCGTCCTGTTTTCTCTAGGATGCTTCATTCCTGCCAGCTGTTGTTATTTCCTGACTCTCTTAAAAGTCCAAGGCCAGACCTTCTCCAACATCTCACTTCCTCTCCCAAATCTCAGTGAAATTAGGCACTAGACATGGTTACCAAAGATCACTTGGTGGTTACCTGAAAAGTGGCTGTCCTCTTGTTTAGATAGTAGAACACAAATGTATACAGGATCAAAGTTTAAATAAAAATGTTTAGATCACACTAGGTGAACATCTATATTAGCCATTGAAGGGGATACATAGTCACAGATTAAAGCTTATTCAGGCCAGGCGTGGTGGCTCACGCCTGTAATCCCAGCACTTTGGGAGGCTAAGGCGGGCAGATCACGAGGTCAGGAGTTCGAGACCAGCCTGACCAATATGGTGAAACCCCGTCTTTACTAAAAATACAAAAATTAGATAAGCATGGTAGCACTTGCCTGTAGTCCCATCTACTCAGGAAGCTGAGGCAGAAGAATCACTTGAACACAGGAGGCAGAGGTTGCAGTGAGCCAAGATTGCACTACTGCACTCCAGCCTGGGCAACAGAGTGAGACTCCATCTCACAAAACAAACAAAAAAGCTTATTCAATAAGTAACTCTTGCTCATTTTTTGGGTGGAGAAACTAATAAAATATGTAGTAGATAGAAACAAATTTTAATTTTTTTTGTAAGTGAAAATTGTACTTAAACTTTGATTCTCACAAAAATATGTGTTTATTTTAAATAATTAAAAATAATTAAAAAATTATTAAAATTAAATTATTAAAATAATTAAAATTATTAAATATTATAAAATTATTAAAATAATTAAAAATTTAAAAAAAATAATTAAATAATTAAAAAGCTGATAGAAAACAGCTCTGTAAGGCTCACTGTTATTTATTAAATACCTTCTCATAAATTTACTGTTTTTTTAATTCACACAGAATTATTTCCTAATGGATGTTCAGCCTTCAAGAAAATTACTCCCAATATAGATGAAGAAGGAGCAATGAAAGAAGATGCTGGGATGATGGATGTCCATTATAGTGAAGTAAGGATTCCAGGGCCTGCATTGCCAGTTATATAAATTGCACTTCTTAAAATTCATGTATATTAAACAATTATTACAGCTAACCTAATTTTGAAGGTAACTAAGGGTTAACGAACTTTAGGTATTAAAACTATCCAGGACAAAGATATTCCTGTTTAGACGGCCCTGTCTCTTGAACTAGTCCCATTGTCTAGTTTTAGAAATGCAACATTTGCCATCCTCAAGTCACCATCCCAATAACTAGATAAGAGTCAAAATACATTGGAAAATTTTCCATAAAAAATAGAATTAACATTGTCCTTTACTTCAGCTAAGACACAGTATGTACAAAAGTATTTTTCAATGGAATTTTCTGCTCTAAACATCACATGGATAGAAAACAGCTTTGGCTGTCAATCAGCCACCAAAGATTTATTGAGCATTGACTTATGAGCAAGGCCCTGGATTCAGTGACCTAGGAGGTTTAAATAATTAGGTTTGACTAGTCCCTGACCTCCAGGGTCCACCTGAAGAGATAATACACGTACATGAAATGGAAAAAAGTAAGACTTCTGAATAATATTTGAATAATGTAGACAAAAAGTGCAATGCAAAGTCAAAGGTGAAAGATGCCTTAGAGCTCAGGTAGAACAGAGGAGGTATGATCAGAGAGTGATTGGAAGAATAAGGACACCCTTGAAGACATTCTAATAGGCAAACAGCAGAGACCATGACAAAGGCAGGAAAGTGTAAGACATGTTTGAGGCACAGTGAGTGGATCCTTTTGGCTATACCTGTAGGTGCCCTCAACGAGTATTAGTTGAGGCCAGATTTTGAGAAACTTTCGGTGTCTGGACTTTATTCACTAGAATGTTGAATAGATATCAAAGATTTTTGAGAAGATAATGACTAG